CCCAATGATTGCCCTCATCACTGATTTCCACCCCCCACTGCTCTTAATGCCATTAACGGGAAGACTGCAGCAGTTCTTACCCAATCTGGGTGCGGAGAGGAAGCCATACATGTGCAGTACGAACTGGCAATGTGGTACTGTACATTTCTAAAGCCCCTCCATCTCCCCCTACCACACAAACACAAATGCTCACATTTTTCTCTCTTAAAAGATGACATCAGAGTTACCTGAGTAGATGCAGCTCTCTGTGTGGTCATGCCTGTTAAAGAGACAATGTGGATTTTTGGGTTTGTTTGCTGTAGCAGAGACAAAGTGCCTCAATATAAACATAAATTGGATAAAATCTAAATTTGTTGAAATGTTTGTACTGTTGTCTGCCAGAAAACGGTGGATTGTCCCCTCTGGATTGGGAGAGACTTACTGCCCCAAGCAAGGAAGTTCAAGTACCTCAGGGTCTTGCTCATGAGTGAGGGCAGAATGGAATGTGAGATGGATCAGTTGTTTGGCGCAGCGTCTGCAGTGATGTGGGCGCTGAAGAGATCTGAGCCAGAAGGCAAAGCTTTTGATATACTGGTCCATCTATGTCCCCAATGCTCACGACCAAAAGAATGAGATCAAGGATACAAGCTGCCGAAATGAGTTTCCTCAGTAGTGGCTGGGGTCAGCCTTAGAGATAGGGTAAGGAGCTCAGACATCCAGAGGGAGCTCATAATAGAGCCACTACTCCTTTGTATTGAAAGGGGTCAGTTGAGGTGGAACGGGCATCTGAGCAGAATGCCTCCTGGACGCTACCCATTGGAGGTGTTTTCTAGGCACATCCTACTGGTAGGAGAAGGGATTACATATCTTGTCTGGCCAGGGAGCTCCTCGGGGTCCTCCAGGGGGGGCTGAAAAGTGTTGCTGGGAAGAGGGACGTCAGATGCAGAAACGGACCTTTCAACTGAAGAGTAAGATCCTTTTTGTTTAATCCAAAACAGCCCCAAAATTGTTTTTGCCAAACCCACCAGATTCCATTTAAATAAACAATAATTTATCATTGTAAAACAACACTTTATTCCAAATGAACAGAAACATATAAAACACTCAAAGGCTGTCTTGGTTTGTCTTTCCACTGTCCCAACAATCATCAACTCTGGTTTGGTTGAAATAAACCCTTACATCATCCAGTTAGATGTGAAAATAAGCTGCCTCTATACACGCTAAAATTACTGTTTGTATATATGGAGTCTGGTGGGATTGGCGATAGCGATTTTGGGGCTGTTTCTGGTTAAACAAAAGGTCTACCTCTGTAGGGATCCTCTCCGTAATGTTGTCAGATACTGAGCCTGACAGTGGTAGAAACTAGCTGAAGTAAATGGACGTGCATAAATGCCCCAATTGCTTACAATGCATCCAGAAATGTCAGCAGTGCTATTGTGCAATGCTAGACCAAATACAAAAAAATGTTGTTCCCATCAGACACTCCGACACAAAAACATGGGGGAAAAGGGTCTGTTTGAAACATCGTGAACGTACCCTTTAAAGGGTCACAAACCTTAAAGACTTTTCAGATGTTTCACTCTGAAATGTGGTGAAAAACCCCCACAACAGAACAGATTATAAAACTGCTTAATAAATGAGCAAATGTACTTTTCTCTTGTGATAAAAAACACACTGGACCTGAAAGGAGGAGGTCAAGAATGCAAAGAGCCTCTCTGCCTCTATGAGTGTCACATGACTGCTCCACGAACACTCAGAGCTTACTCTCTAGTATCTGTTGCCACATGCAGTAGTAACTAATGTTTCTCATTCCTTTTCTGCTATTCATCCATCTCTCGACATCTTTCTGCTGCTGTCATGCTTTCCCCCGTGCCTCGCCATATTTTTCACTTCTTTATTTGCTGAGCCACAAATGCTCCCAGGTTCCCTTTTCCATGTTACATTTCTAAATCCCACTTCAAGCTGCCAGCAGCCTTTGCCACAAAACTCTCAGCCTTAAGTATTTTCACATTCCCGGACTATTTGCTTTCTTTCTCCATTATTATCTTTATCTGGAGAAGGAAGAAGCGAGCGCAGTATATCATCAGCGTCCGTTATCTCTGTGCTGGTCTTCTCTCATCCTCACCTGATAAATTCAGAGGCCTGCTTGGCAGTTTCCCCACATTCAGTTTCACTGATCTCTCGTCCAAGTGTTTTGGAAATGCAGTAGGTTTCTGTCACGCCCTGGACTTGATTTTAACAAGTTAAATGCAATGCAAAAACCACAAAGGCGCTCATTTGAAAGTCAAAGGCGATGGACGGGAAGAGTTTTCTGCTCACTGAGGAAGATAAAGAACAGTGGAGCAGAGCAGATCCTCACAACAGCAGGGTTATCAGCGTACATGTTATCAGACTGCTCAAGGCCTCGGGAGACACAGTTTAGGATACAGTTTAAATAACTGGAGTTTTATTAGCTGTGTGGGTGTGTGTGTGTGTGTGTGTGTGTGTGCCAAGGCTTCAGATATTTGATACATGAGACTTGCAAAGCGGCGATGTCTAAACTTGCTGCGGATCTGTTTAAATCATGTGACTGAGGACGTTTGAATGTGCCTGCTGCTTCTTTCCAACCTGCGGCTGGTTTGAACTGGTCTCAACCACAACATCCTCTGTTGCTCTGTTGTAAAAGCACATCCTGCACAGTGGTCCAATTACAGAGAGCGTCCTTTAACACCTTCGAGTCTCATGAAACCTCGTGTCCTCCTTGCTTTTCACTGGCTTTCATTTCCTTTCTGTTTGTGTATTTCCTATTTTTATCACACATTATTCCCACAGCAGCATCCTACACTCCCAAATATGTAAAGAAATAGCTAAATAAACTCCAGATATCAATGTTTTATTCATACATTTTTCTTGATTCACATTTTTTTTTTTTTTACATTTTTCTTACTGACAGCATCCTAATAAATGATAATAAATAAATAAAATACAACATACCACACTTTGTTTGGACAAAATAATGAAGCCCCGGATGTATCCAACACTGTCCCGTGTTTATATTTATACAGTTTAATGCAGCTGTGATTTAATTTATAATCCGTTAAAGGAGCAGTACTGGTATCTAACGGTGATGACTGCAGATTACAACCAGTTGAAACTTCTCCGTTGTACAAAGCGTGAACTCTCGGTTAGGATTCCTTAAGTGTTTACTGTTTAGGAGCTGAAATGACCCTTTGCAAATCCCACCCCTCGAATGCAGACTGGCTAATCATAGCTTAGCATCAGACAGCTCCAACAACACAGCTGTGCTCCACTGACTCTAATGCAATCGTTTCAGATTTCCTTCATTTTCAGGCTGGTTTTGTGGATTTGGAGCTAAATGTTGTGCCTGGGGCACGTCATGTATTAATGATACTCGTTACCTGGAGAGGTTGGAAAAAGATATACATTTCTTCCCTGTTCCAAAACCAAAATCAAACCCTGAAAAGTGCAGGGTTAGCTAGCTAGCTACTGAAGATATAACCTACTGAATGTATACACATGCTGCTTTCGATTTTTAATGATTATAACAGTGAAACAAAGACCGACCCTGCTGTACAGGAACCAGTGAAGGGAAGCAGGGAAACTTTGCTGATATTCAACCAGCTGTGTGTCATTACAGTGTGCGCGGATGAATGTTGCTAGGCTTCCCTCAGGGTTCTCCGCCCATCTGGGAGCAGAGGTCCGCTGGCTGAAGCCAAATACTGTTCACCTGCGCACACTATGGTTCAATATCAGCAAAGTTTCCCTTTATATTCATTGTCTTGTGTGGTGATCAGCAGTGATGTGGTGGTTCACTTTTACACTGTGATCTGTAGCCTATAGTTCGTCTTTAGCTTCTAACTATCTTTGTCTTTTTAACCTGTTGTTGCTGCTGAGTCAGTTTGACATCCTGGATATATCCTTCCAACACAGACTGTAGACCCCTCTGTCTGCTTCTCTGGAATCACTCTTTCATTTTCCCAAAAATATATTTCTTCAGGGAGTGCAGTTAGTTACAGTGTGGGCTCCAGGCTTACTGCGACAGCTTGACTGACCAATACAAAGGGGCGGGGCTTAGCGAAAAGTCAGTTCTCGTCATTAATAAAAAAGTAAAAACACTGAATACAGCAGTTTCATGATGCAAATAAGTGTCGTCAGCTCGTCAGGGAGGGACTGTTACTTACAGTGGCCGACGCAGAAATGCAAATATCCCTTTCTAGAACTAGTGTTTAGTTTGTCTGTTCTGAGCTACTGTAGAAACATGGCGTTGTAACATAGTGGACTCAGTGGACGAGGAACCGCTCCTTGTGTAGACATAAACAGTTAATTCCAAAGTAATGAAAACACAATTCTTATTTTCTGTGATTATACACTAAAGAAAACATATTTATATTCCATTTCTACCAATATATCCTCCTAAATCCTACACACTGGACCTTTAATTTCATTCAAATGTTAAGTGCAGCTGCAGAATGATGGGGCCTGGTAAGGAAGTGACGTACAATGATTTTGGAACCGCTTCTTCAAACTGTAACAGAGCAAACAAAGTTAAGATGGACTTGTAGGGAGAGTTGATGGTTCACCTTTGAGGGAGGAAATCTGAACCATGCTGCAAGGAGTTGCAAAGACAAGTTGGATTATTGTAATTTGTTTGTTTCCATAGATTTGTATTTTATCATGTACTATTTTCATCCAAGACCACTTTGGGCAGATGTGTTTTTAGGAATGCTTTAATGTGCTATCCTCTGGGGCTTTTGTGTCATGATAATTCTTTAACTTGTTGTGCTTTTAAATTTCTAATAGAAATCATCAAATCAAAGCCATGGACTTGAATCTCTGGACAGGGATGTCCACATACTTTTGGCTACATTGGGTATGTTGTGTTCAAAGCAGTGAATGTGCTCCAACTGTACTTCTTTCTTTATAGCGCCCCCTTTGGCTGAAACTGGATCATTGCAGCTCACAATTAAGACCACAGAAACACAGTTTGTGTGTGCATAAGACAAAAACGCAAATACAAGATGTTTAAACTTTTTTTTAAATATTATTTTAATACTTTTCTTAAAAAAAGATGTTGTACTCCATAATCTGAACAAGATGAATCTATTGACCTCAATGCCTCACTCACCAACATACCAACAGGTTGTTCTGGGGTAAAATAAATCAAGAGGAAAAAATAGCAAAGGGAAAAGAGAACAAAATAAACTCAAAACAATCAAATATGAAAAGGGAAAAGAAATGAATGAAACATTAAAAAAAAGAAAGAAAAGAAAGCGATTATAGAATCGAAAACACTCACAGATCTCTGGGCCAACCTACGGAAACTGAGAAAACCTCCCGCTTCCAGAAAAACACAATGGCACACGACATCCCAAAAACAGATTATGGACGATGAAAACATTTTTAAAAATAAAAACTAAAAGACAAGAGAGACAAACAAGAACCTATTATACAGACTGGAGAAGCTGTGAGGGAGATAGTGGTGGACGAGATGGCTAAGAGAGACTAAAAACATGTACATGATGAAAGGAAATAATAAAAAAAGAGAAGATGCAACTAATGAAAGAGTTAAGTGCAGCTGCAGAATGATGGGGCCTGGTAAGGAAGTGACATACAATGATTTTGGAACCGCTTCTTCAAACTATAACAGAGCAAACTGCTGCGTGACGTTGGATTTAAAAAGGGGATAAAGGAAAATTAAATAGCAATAAAAACATAGCCTTTAATATAAAGTGAAAAGAAGATGCATTTTACATGTAAAAAATGTGAATGAACTTTCAGCACTCAATAGATTGGTTTTGGCATAGAGTTGAGAAAAAAAAAACAGAAAAGGTATGAGAGAGAATAAGACAGACGAAAAACAATCCTCTCAATAGAATCATAAAAAAGTTTTTTTTTCTTCTTTACAGTAAATTCTACAAAATCAAAACCAGAGCTCAGAGATGAACACAGAGACGAGCTTTGCTCCCCGAAATCCAAATTCCTCTCATGTTCGTTTTCGTTGACATTTCGTCGTATATAATATATATTCATGTATCTATTTATATATATAATATGTATAATTTGTAGGGTATGATTGTTAGTTTACAGGCCAGAGCGCTAAGGCAAAGGTCACACTCTGAAACTTTTAAAATGCCATCGTTTCCCTCCTCATCGCCCCCGGGATGTTCAACAGGTCGAAGCCTCCACCTCTCCAATTAGTGACTGAAGAGAGAGAAACAGAAGGAGGTGAAGGGAGGAAAGATGCCTTACAAAAGTGTGTGAATGTGGCCGGGGTGTTGCGTTCCCACTGTGTCCTGAGAAAACAACCGACTCTCAGATGACCACTGGACCTGACAAACTAGACCACACCAGCCCGCCCCCCCTCCCAGTTAAAATCCAACTTAAAATAAAATAAAAACAGAGACGAGATTAGGAGAGAGGAAAAAACAAAAAGTGATCTGTCCATTTGTAATTTGTTCACCCGTTCCTTTAAAACCCTCTTCTCTTCTCTTCGACATTAGAGAACAAGGTTTTTCGTAATTTTTCCACACAATTTCTTAAATTAAATCCTCTTCGCCGCCATTATTTTATTTTAAAAATGTAAAAGTTCTGTCCCCTCCTTTTCATTCTGCCTTTCTCGTTTCCCCCGAGGGAGCCGACTATCTGATTATTTCGCTCTCCGTTTTCCACCTGTCGCTCCGGGAGACCCAGAACCAGCAACCATAAACGCCAAGCCAGACACCAAAACGTATCTGAGGTTGGAGGAAAACAGGGCTGCTTATTTCAGTTTCACTTCCCCCCTCTCATTCACATGACACAAGCCAGCTGTTTCAACTACTGAGAGAAAGGGACAGTTACTATCAAGTCTGTGAGTGTGTGTGAGTGTGTGTGTGAGTGTGTGCGTGTGTGAGCAGCGACCGTGTATATCAGAGCATCGTGGTTTATATGCATGTTTGTACTGATGTTATTTACGTATGTGTGTCTATAGGTCCGTCTCTCACTCCTATCATCTGCTTTTTCCCTTTCAGAACAGATTCTCTTCAAAAATGGCCATCAGGTCGCTCTGGAAGTTGATGTCAATGGTGTCGGCCATCTGCAGGACAGAAGAGAAGAACAAGAAGTGTTAAAGACTTAGTTTAGAAATCAAGAATGAGTGTTTCGTTTTTTAGTTTTGTGCGTACCGCCTCTCTCCTGCGCCTCTCCTGCTCGCGGCGGCGTGCCATCTCCCTCTGGTCGAGAGTGTTCTGCGTCGCAGAGGAGGGTGTGGGCGGCACCTGTGGCTGTGTGGGTGGGGCCTGTGGGGAGTGAGTGGGCGGGGTGGAAGCCGGAGGTGTGGGAGCAAGCGGTGACTGTTGCTCCTGGCGACGGCGGGCATCTTCTTGCGCTCGACGAGCTTGCTCCATGGTGTCCTCGTCATCACGGCTATTAAAAGCAAAACAAAAAACAGGAGTAAAAAGTGAGACCCCGATCATACAGAAAGTGTTTCAGCATTTTTGCCAGAGCGCTCTGAACTCCATGAACTGAAAAAACTTCAACTCAAAGCGGAAAAGCGCCCCACGCCATCTCTTTTTTGGGTCATCTTTTTTCCCATTGTCTGATCGGATGATTTGAGAGGCGGGCCTTCTGTGGTGGTCACGACAAGTTTATAGTTGGTAAACAATGGAAGAGAAACTTGTGGTAGTAGCTGCTGGATACCCAGAGCTATACAGCCCGACGATAGACAGCAGATTGTCAGACTGCCACCAAGTCATCTGTAAATATGCCTGGAAACGTCCATCATGGAGGAGAAGCTCCTGGACCAACTGGTTGTACTCCCCATGATCCACCCTCTTTTTTAGGGTCTCATGTACCCACACAGTTCTCTGTTTCCCTGTGCCCAAAAAACTATTTGCTGACAGCCTCTCACCCTCAACCAGAGCTACACCAAGTACCCTCTGCCTCAACATGTCAGGAACTAGCTACTTATTACTGTGAAATTAAAAAACGGTAGATTGATTACACGGGAGGGTCAATGTAAGGACGTGATGGAGTGGTTGCCGAACCAATACTGGATTTCTCAGACTGACACATAGGGCTGTGAAGGTATGGATTTTACTACTACTACTTACTTACTGTGGTTAAAATGCAACATTACACCATGGTTTGAAAGTAAACTGCCTACACAGAGTGTTACACTCATGTACATCATGAATTTAACTGTACAATTCTCTGACTTATCAGTGAAGTTTAAGAACTACACTGCAGACTGGATGTTCCTCTCTCAGTGACAGAGTAATGTGACGGCTGACTCAAATGAAAGGGTCCAACCTGGGTTGAGTACACATTGGCAGGTCTGCCTCATGGATGTGTGGTATGAACGGTCATCACTGCACTGTATTTTAATGAACTGGTCATTTGGTCGCATCTCTGGCTTGCGTCAAGCCCCAGTTTCACTCCCTGTTCCTCTTCTTACATTTCTCATACTCATACGCCTGCAGTTACATCTACGAACTTCTGTTACAAACAGCAGCACTCCTTTAGTGTGGAGGATTGTGATGTTTACTACAACTTCGGTAGTATCTGCTGCCTTAAGCTTGACACAGCTCTGCGCAATCACCGGAGCAGCAGCTCCAGCCTCTCAACCTGACTGTGGCACGGCAGCCTTCACTGCTGACAGGCTATGTCTATATAATATTTAACAAAATAAAGGTGCGACCAGCTGAGAAAGTTGTGGGAAAAGTTAGTCTGGAGTCCTGTCTCCTGGAAATCACTGACTAAAAGTTGTTTTGGTATGTATAAATAGATCGATTTTTCAAAGCACAACAGTTTTCTTTTAAATTTTACACACTGCAAGCAGCTTTTGCTTTACAGTCTTTCAGTGCAGTATTAAAATACAACTCTGATGTGTCGGCTGATTTGAAGCTTGAAGAACTTGAGTTAAAAGCTGCAGATGAAAGTGTGATTTGTGGGGAATGTCTGGCATTTTGACCTGCGTAAACAATGAGGGCAGATTTATGACCCTTTTTTAAAATGAACACGCAGTGACACTGGACAAGAAGTTCACTGAGAGGATTACCTATCTCAAGGAATGTTCAAGTCTCCGAGTTGTGTTAAATTCTTTACTGAAATTAATGAAAAGCAATCGCTGCTTGGAAAGAAAGCAAGGCATATATGAAAAAATAAAAAATTAAAGTACTCATAAAAAAATGGAGGTGGCTTGTTGAATGTGATGGTAACTGGTGTAATTTTCAAACCTCTGATCATTTCTCAGGAAGTCTCTATCTCCTTCTGAGACAGTGACTCATGCTGATGACTCATTACACACTTCTCCATTGTCCTCCAACCTACCGTAGCTTTTCTTGCTCTCTCCTGGCCTGTTCAGCCTGTGCTTTCAGCTGCCTCTCCCTCTCCTCCTTCTCCCTGGCGGCCCGTCTGAACTGTTCAAAGCTGTCGCTGGAGGAGCGCACGGAGGACGCCGGCGTGGACTGAGACCTCTGAGCCAGGCTGGCCCAGGAACCCATGTTCTTTAACTTCACATCCTGTGAGCAGACAGGAGACAGAAGGGGATCAGAGAATGACAGCAAACACACAAACCAGAAGGAGTTGTGTGGATCTTCTCATCTCTCACACTCACACACACCTGTGTCTTCTTGGGAGCAATAGGAGTTTTGGGCTCTTGCTTGATTTTGTTGTCTTGCTGGGAGCAGGGTGGAGCTGGGGAGTCAGGGAGGCGAGAACTTGGGCGAGATCCATCCAGTGGCTTCAGGTCTAATCCTGAGGGAGACATAAGTGGGGATTAACAATACATACAGATGTAACTTAAATTATCAGAGAAGGGATCATAAGCAATAATGTCTCCTAAAGTAGCTGTTGTTAAGTTTGGTAGGAAGCACACAAATTTTTCTGAATTCAAAGTAACAAAAAGAATGACACGCCTTTGACTGCAGGTAGCTTCTCGTGCTCTCTGACATGTTCTGACACCTCACTCAGCTCTGGTAACCAGAATTTTGATAAAACAAGATGTTGCTCTCACTGTGTTTGTTGTCGTGTTTGTGTGTGTCTTGACGCATGGCAGGGCTGAACGGCGAGGGGGGCAGGACAGGCGACTGAGAAGGCTTCTCTTCTTTGACTGCCACCAGGTTGGACCTCTGCTCCTACAGGCAGACACAGAGCACATTAACAGACTATTATCAAGACTCAAAAACAAAACAAAAACATGTTTTCAGCATTAAAACTGAGGACTTTTATTAAACCTTCAACTGGCTCAAAATACACCCATGTAAATGAGGCACAGCAGATTTTTTCTGCGAGCACACACAGTCAATACACACACACAGCATTAAAATAAAGGTGCTCGCTCACATGTTTCTTGGTCTGTGAGGGTGACTGCTGTCCCATTGTGTGGAACTGAGGCATCTGAGGAGAATGCATCATCAGGGGAGAGGGACTCTCACGCAGGCAACCTAGAGAAACAGAACAAATATTGCAAAAACTCCTCTTTTTAACTCACAGCAAACATTAAATGTGCAGTACCAGGTATGATAAGACTACGTCTAGTGATTCCAAATCATAATGGTCAATTTTGTAAACAGAAATAATCTCAATCTCAGAATAAAATGATCCAAAAAAGCATAAGTGCTTTAATATTAAAGTACCGTTTACCACTGCAGAGAATACTGCAGTGCTTCAATAGAGACCATCGGCTTGTAGGTTGTAGCTGTCCTTTTTGAGGAAGCTAGCTTGCTCCACAATGTGGCCAGACGCAGGTATGACACAACATATTTAACCTAAGTTTTACTGTCACGGACGACAAACAAGACAACACTGTGCTGTATTTATTAAAAGTAGAGCCCCACTTAGTTCTCCTTGCAAATGCTTTGGGTGGTGTTTAAGATTTAATTTTACTACTTTGCTGCAAAACTGTTCACTTCACTTAGTCTTAACCCCCATCAGCAACTGTTTATTACCTCCACCAAGGAGGTTATGTTTTCGCCGGCGTTGGTCTGTTTGTTTGTCTGCAAAATAACTCAAAAAGTTCTGAACAGATTTTGATGAAATTTTCAGGAAAAGTTGATAATGGGACAAGGAACAGATGAAAGGTTGAAGCGAAGTGGATAAAATAATAAAATGGCGGGAAATCCGAGCTGCTTGGCGGAGGTCTGCCCTCTCCGAGTGCTTTTCTAGTTTATAACCTGTATTCCTGCTTTTACTTCAAGGAACAGTGTGTTAGATTAAGGGGTATTTAGTGTCATCTAGCGTTGAGGATTACAAATGGGAACCAGGTCAAACTTCTCCACAAAGGTCTCTTCCTCTCCAAAACAAACAGACCCAATGATTTAAACCAATAAAAACACAGAATACACTGTACAGCAGATTCATATTACAAATCAGTGTCTCTCCTATACTTTTCAGCATATCGGAATTGGGCCACTAACCCAGCACCTGCCAATGTGCGCTCATCTTCTTACTGAAAACTTTTTACTGTCAGAAAAAAAATATTTGTGGAACAGAAACATATGTTTTTATTCACTCTGATTATTATAACCTCTACCACTTTATAGACTTCTTACCTGTTGAGAAAGGCTCTGCTTTGCTGCGTGGCGATGGCTGTTGTTGATGTTGCATCTGTTGTACCTTCTGCTGCAGGGCCACCCCCTTCTGCTGCTGTGACGCTGACGTATGTGTAGGTGGGAACGGCTGGCGCATGTGCGCGTGGCCTGAGCTGTGTCTCTGTGTCAGGGCGGGGGTCGGGGTTGTCACAGCCTGTGTGTGCATCGACGCCATCAGCTGAGAGGCGCCCTGCGCGGGCGAATGCGTGTGCGTATGCAGCGGCTGCGTTGGCGCGGTGGGTCGGGCCTGGAGTGACTGCAAGAAGGTGTGAACTTGACTGAGGGGCGGGGTTTGAGAACTGGTGGGAGTTGGCTCTTCGTCGTCCTCCAGCAGGGCTTGGGGAGGTTGTGCTGAGAGGGTGCCCAAGATGCCGTGCGACGGGGGTGAAGGGACGCGAGGGCGAGGGACGGGCTGGGGCAGAGTGAGTGGAAGCGTAGGCTGAAGCTGGGGCGAGGTGGCTGGTGGCAGGGAGGGGAGCGAGGACGCGGGGGGCTGTGAGGGTTTTGGAGGAAGTGCTGCTGCTCGGTTGCTAGGTCTCGATGGTTGCTGGGGAAGAGCATTGTGGATCGCTGCAAGAGAGAGATGGAACATGGTCAACAGCAGAAGTAAAATGAATAAATGAATTGCTCTTTAAAGGGTGGACTTCCATAGTTATTTTTTATTACTGTATCAGAAATGGTTTTAAAATGAGTTTTTCACAATTATTTTTGAGATATTAAATCGTGCAACAAAAGTGATTACTGTGAGTCAACAGATTGATGATGGAAATAATGACTGCAATGCAACCCCAAAATGAATACTGTCAGATTCTTGTCCGTTTCTAAAATTAACTACACAGACAGAAGTTGAACTGAAGTCACATACCTGGCGAAGGTATGATGGGATGTTGGTTTAGGAAAGGGTGTGTCTCAGTGGGCGTCTGGCCGGTGGGTGTGTTTGCATTGAGGAGGCCAGACCCGACGGGGGCACCAGCAGTAGTAATGGTTGGATTGGGCTCTGTGTTCGACTGCGTCAGGTGAGGGTTCATGAACTGAGCCAGAGGATCAAATCCGGAGCTCATTAGCTGTGAGGAGTCTAAAGACTGAACAGGAGGAGGGGGGACAAACGGTGGTTTGGACTGGACCACTTGAGGCTGAACCTGGGGCTGAGGCTGAGGAGGGACTGGGCCCGCTCCGCTACTGTGGGTCATTTGGTGCAGCCTCTTGGTGTCTTTGTTAGACAAGACCTTCTTCTGCATCTTGGGAACCAGCCCTGGTGGACGAAGGTATACAATACATACAGAGGAAATGTGAGGAAAGCTGATATGCTGAAGAATTGCTGCTGCTGTTTCTCAAAAACAATACCCTAACGATGTTGTGTGTGCACGACGTTACCATTCTCAGAGTCTTCACTGTCAGAGGAGTCACTGCTGCCTGAAGATGAGGATCCTGTCTTCATCTTTGTCACATTTGTCATTTCCAGAGACTTCTCTACTGCAACAACACACAACCAAAACATTCAGCAACCATTCTGAAGAAAAAAGAAAAACACTGGGGAAAAAGTCTCACTGGGGAGGTCTGTGCAGTGATTCCTCACATTGATTACATTCAAGTAAATGCAGGGAGTTATATTCCTTTACAACACACCCGATGGCTTGTTAATAGGGCTGTTGTACCTGGATGAAATCAAAATAATAATTTAAAGCAAAAGTTTGACATTTTGAGAAATAAGCTTATTCGCTCTGTGGTGGAGAGTTAGATGAGGAGATAATACCCAGATATCAGGATATAGCCAGGACAGAGCCAGGCTAGCTGTTTCCCCCCATTTCAGATCTTTATGCTTTGTAGCCAAATCCAGGGTGTCTACAGGTATCAGAGACTTCATTCAAGACATTTTTAAACCAAATTTAAGACAGATTTTTGGACAAATCATCTTTATCTTAATCAAGCACTGCAGGTGAGTATAAAGCCAAGTAATATAGCCTATATCTAGTCCTGTGCAGAGGAAGGATTTATGTGGGAAAGTGGTTATTTGAGTGTTTCAGCTTGATCAACAATTTGCCATCACGTAAGTGCAAATATATAGAAAAAGACAGGATTACATTCAGTAGTAGGTTTTATAGTTTGTAATTTTAGAAATGAGGACTTTCACACAGAAGAGCCTGAATCATGTTGCGAATTTTTTTTTTTTAAATATATGGATAAATGAAATTAAATGAAATGTTTGTGGAAACTGAGACGTCAGAAATTAAAGACTAATAAATGACTTTTGAGGATTAATATGTATAAATTGAATTAAAGACATTATAAGACAGTTTAAGGACCTGCCGACAACCTTTTATAATTAAAATACAGATATGAAAGTAACACTAATCTTATTATCTAAAGGTGTTTTCACATATAGTCCTTTTTAAATGAACCAAACTCAGTCCTCTTAAAGTGCACCAAAAAATGGACTGAGAGAAAAAAGACTCCGTTCTTTTTGTGTTCACATTATCAGTACATTTAAAAGAGGACTCAGTTCTCTTTCTGGCAACTTCAGCTCTGATGAAGCCTCAGTCCTTTTTCTGTTCATACTATAGCCTATGTATCATATATACTAACATAGTTCTGTTTTTACTTTGACGTGCCACTGCAGTGCGGTTATGAAACCCCTTACTTTCAGATGAACTTAAAATTGGAGGACACCCGTAGTGTTTCTGTGCTGTAGACTGTTGCCATTTGATGTATTTTACGTTCCACATCTGGAGACGTGCAGTATCTTTCGTGGACCAAACTACTCCTCATCCTGAGTCCTTGCGCACGTTACAGGCCGACGTAGTTTCCTCTGTTTTTTCAAGTGTCCCAGTGCATTAGCGTGTGATCTAGAGGGCTAAACACAGCGGCAAAGAGCAAAGTGAACCTGGAGCACTTTGTATTCACAAGGCACAGGTAAAGCGAACTGCACCTTGTAGCGAACCGAGGGGTCTGAGTTCATCTGGAGTGTCCACATAAGCACAAAAAATGCAGAGTCTCCGCTCTGAGTCCGTTCAGAGGGCTGAAAAGGACCAAGTGTAAAAACACCCTTACCCTCCCAGAGAACGCAAACAAGCATATTTCGCAAACTATTTGCAAATATTCCTTCAACATTTTTCAGATAGCATCATACTGTACATAACAATATAGCAAACATGTACTTAATTACACACAATGTATTCAAACTGATGTTCAAGGAAACCGTGTTCCAGCATTGTCTGTGACATGACAGCAAATGTGTAAATGAAAGTGAAACTAACGATTGTGTTTGCTTTGACTCACTTATTTGGATCACACAAATTGCATTCACAAGCAGTCGATCCTGTGAGATGTATAACAGGATTAACAACTCTTTATACAGTATGTAGCCTTCAAATGTTTCTCTGCCAAACAGTGACATCCCCTTAGAACAGGACCTTAATGTGCTATGAATCAGGTGAGAACTGTCAGAATCACAAAAGTCTCCTGACAACCATACAGGAAGTGCTGAGCACTCATACAAACAGCCTACCTGACGGCTTCTTCTTCTTCTTGAGGCAGCTGGAGACGTATTTCTCCAGCTCTCTCAGCGTGGAGGGCTTCAGCGTCTCGAAGTCGATCTCGATCTCGTCCGGGTTGGAGTTCTTCAGCGAAGGCTCACGCGTTTGGATTATGTGCACCACGCGGCCCAGTTTGTCACCGGGCAGCTTGTTGATGTCCAGGCTCAGCTGGCGCTTCTCCTCGTACGACATCGGCTTGCATCTTTCGACTGACACGCCCCCAAATGCTTCTGGTGGGGAAAACATAACAGCAGGTTGATACTGGGTCATGGTTGAGGACACTTTCAAACAAGAAATCCTGCTTAACACATCTCTCATTACCTATTTCATCTTCTGCTTCAAGAGAGGCTGAGGGGACGAGAGGAGTTGGCACAGGCTGAGGGGGCGCAGCTGGACGACTGTTTTTAACTCCTTCTTTCTTACTGTAATTGTAAAATGATAAGATTAGCTCCAGCTGACACAGCTACAGTAATATTATTTATCTTATTGCCTCTGTGACACCTACCCCGTCTTTTTTCTTTCCTTCTTTCCAATTATTGGATCCTTGCTGCTCTTGCTTTTCTTAGATGTCTGAAGCATCACAGACGGAGGCGCCTCCACAGGTTCCTCAGATCCCATCTTCTTCTTGTGCTTTTCTTTCTTCTTCTCCTTCTTCTCCCGCTCCTTCTTCTTGGGCTTGCTGGCCGGGGGCTGTGAGAGTGCTGCCAGCTGTTCATGGACAGCCTTGAGCTAGAGGACACAAACACACACACACAGTGGGGGTCTTACGAGACGAAAAGACAGCATCCTGCACATTTGCGTCTCCGTGTCGCAGCATTCACCCACGTTCGGCAAAGCTGTTCTGCGTGGCCCACCCACCTGTTGTCTCATAAGCCTCCCTCCCCCTTCATTTTCCATCCTCTAACCTGTTCCTGTAACTCAGCCAACCGATGTTGCCTTTCGTGTTCTGAGTCTCCTCCCGAGGACTCCGATTCGGACGAACTGGAGCTGTCGTCTTCCGAGACAGCAGAAGGAGGCGGGGCTTGTCGAGTGGAGGGGGCAGGGTGGAGGGCCGATGACGGGGTGGGAACAGGGGTGGGCTCCTCTGGCTCATCAGGCATTTTGGCAAAGCGCATCTCAAAAACGTCCTGTTAGGATAGAGGACAGCAAGACAAACTGTGAACTCTACATGAAGCACAAACCAATACGTTCAATACATACATGGGAACAATGAGCGAGGGTATTTCAGAACTGGATCTAAAATGGAACCAGTTAACAGTTCCCAACCATTCACACTTTTATTCTAGTGGTAGTTTTTGTCATAATTGCTGAAAGTTTTACGATATACACATAGTAGTATGAGACAGTCTGTGGAAAAAAATCACGTTCGTCTGCCTCCTCATAATGCTTCTAATGGCTTTACAGCACATAAATGGAAACAACCAATCAGAGCCATAAACCCTTTTTAGATAGGAACTGTGCAAATTTGCAAGAAAGCCCAATCAGTCTTTTTTTAGCATTGGCAGATTAAAAAAAAAAAACAGGGAATGCAGCAAAATGCCACCTGCCTACTTTTGTTTATACAGAATGCGCCTTTTTCGGGGCAATGGGGGGCGTGAGCAAGTAACAAAATGTGTAGCTCAGTGTGTGACGTAAACAGTGACGTAGGAGGGAAGCCGTGGCTGGTCAGTCCTTCAGCGATTCTCTCGTTAGTCGGCTCATCCTTCACCGTCCCTGCCATCTGACGGTTAATGGCCTCTTCGTTTGAGAGGGCAAGGAGGGTGGACAATTCTTTGTCTCCTCAGTTGCTCATCTTTTCTGTAGTGTCTGTCAGGTTTGCGTTTCCCTCTAGCTACTAGCTGCTCGCTAATTCCTGCTATCAGCTGTTTCCTGTTTATCCACCGCCAGTGGGTCACATGTGCGGCGTCATCAACAGCTCCTCCCACAAGTCTTCAACAGCCCCTCCTGTCGCAGAAGGTCGCCTTGGTCTGTTTAAACTACGAGGCGGAAAATTGGGATCAACTCACCAATCCGGCTGTGTGTGTCTAAATGCCCCCAAGCTGCCGGCAAAACGGCCCAACATTCACGGAAAATCTGGCAGTGGAAAAGGGGCTAATGAGTCATTCATGTCAACCACTGCTCATGAACTGTAGCACTGATCAAATATGAATCAAGATTCTGTTATTGTATTGTGCCATTTTCATCCACTTATCTGGGGCCTAATCGCGGGGGCAGCAGGCCAAGCACCCCAGACATCCCTCTCTCCAGCAACACCTTCCAGCTCCTCCTGGGGGACCCCAAGGCGTTCCCAGACCAGATAAGATATGTAATTCCTCCAGTGTGTTCTGGGTCTGCCCGGGGGCCTCCTACCGGTGGGACATGCCTGAAACACCTCTAACAGGAGGCACCCAGGAGGCATCCTGATCAGACGCCCGAACCACCTCAACTGATCCCTTTCGATGTGAAGGAGCAGCGACTCTACCGCGAGCTCCCTCCAGATGTTGGAGCTCCTTACCCTATCTCTAAGGCTGAGCCCAGCCACCCAATGGAGGAAACTCATTTCGGTCGCTTGTATTAGAGGATCGCGGATGTTGAAAACAGTAGAGCCAAACTGAAGCACCGTGATTCACATGATTACAGTGTGTTAGAGACAGTGGATTTTTAATGGCTGATATAATAACGATAGTTTGGATCAGGAAAAAGCTGATAGCCAATTAATCAGCCAATAACACAAAAACAGAAGTTTCTTATCCTTGTACCATGTAGGTCTACAAGGAACTTATGTGGCCTGCTCATAAATGACGGGTAAAATCATTTTTATGTGGGACTGCACTTGAACAGCATGAAAACAGTCTATTGTCCGATAGTTTCAGCAAAAATGACAAAAAGTTATTTTTTATAAAAGTTACCAAGTGTAGCTTTAATTATGTAAACACAAACAACTTACAAATACATACACAATGCACATAGTGTGGGACAAACAGGAGTGGAAGGTAATCTGACCCTGGTCATACAGTGTATATAATATTCATTATGGATTGCACTACATGTGTGACATGATGATTACCTGTAATTTGCGTGCCATGTTGACCACATCATGGTCCGGGGGATTGTACTTGTAACAGTTGGAGAACATCAACCGAACGTCTGCTGCAAGTTCTTGAGGGTCTCTGTATTGTCTGTTGTCTAGCTTTTTCTGCAGGAGACAAACAAACGCACTGCTGTGAACAAAACTTATCCAAATTCTTTAAAATGTATTCTTTATTTGTTGAACCTAAAAAAAAGCTGTGCCCTGCTGAATCAATCAATCAATCAATCAATTTTATTTATAAAGCCCAATATCACAAATCACAATTTGCCTCACAGGGCTTTACAGCATACGACATCCCTCTGTCCTTTGGACCCTCACAGCGGATAAGGGAAAAACTCCTCAAAAAAAAAACCCTTTAACGGGGGAAAAAAACACTACAAACCTCAGGAAGAGCAACTGCTGAAGGAATGGAGTATATTTCAACCTGGATATTTTCTTTGTACCAACCAAACAGCATCTATAAAGTTGACAAGTACCAAAAAGAGACACTGTGCTTTGTTAAAATATGGACCCTTGGGAAACTAGCCTTGAGCTAAAAGGAATACAAATAAACCCCATTTTGACATGTGGATCAAAACCTAGGTATTGTCTTGGCAGCTGAACCTGCTCCATTACATGATAAACCAATCCTAATAAAATCACCTTGATGGTGCTGAGATCCATGGGGTGCTTGATGATGTCGTGGTAGTCGTGGAGGCCAAGAGCTTTTACATCAACAGGCTTGTAGAAGGGCCAAGCATATGCTACATGTTTCTTAGACAGCATCTCTCTGACGAGGCGTGCGCAAAAACGCAACTGATCCTGTCGCTTCTGCGTAACTGTCCCTCCCGTCTCCAAACCGCCTCCCAGGTGATGCTGAGAGTCCGGCTGCGAGGTGTCTTTTTTGGGTGTCTTAGACGGGCGGCTGCTCTCTCGCCGCGGCCGAGTCTCAGCAGAGACGGGAGATGATTCACTGAGCTGGTCGTTGGCTGTGGGCGTGGTGGTGTCTGCTTTCCTCTTCTGGCTCTTTCTTTGCTGTTGGAACATCAGAGATCAGAGATTAGAGAATGACAACACCTGAGCTTGTGATTAATTATTAATAAATAATGACTTCTCCTTACCTTGACGAGGGCGGGGGAGCTCTGCAGCATCGGGGCAGGATGGAGGCCTGGGTGTGTCGGGGCTGGAGGGGGAACAGAGGTCATGCCCTGGGCCAGGACGTCAGGTGTTGAGAGGGGAAATGGGGGACCCAGATGGGGTGCGTGGGAAGCGGGTGTAGGAGGCACACGCGGGGGCTGAGCCTGGGCCAGAGCCATGGGCAGAGCCAGAGGCTGAGCCAGGGACAGGGCAGGAGGGCCTTGAGGGGTGGGTGCAGTCCGGGTGTGCGGGGTGGTTGAAGGGGATGAAAAGCCCCGTGTGTGTGGGGTGGTGGAGGGGGACGATGAGTCTTGGCCTGACTCTGACTTGCTGATCACACCTGGAAGGGAGAACATAAACACAAGAAGATCACAAAGATGAAATAAAGGATAACTAGAATTACCACCTCGCTGCTGTGCACCTCCGTGAACCATTCAAGTTACAGTTCACATTCAACTCTGTCCAGACTTATGTGTAGCCATGACAGCAGATGAGGCTTCAAATATGAATGTTGCTGCAAAGAAGCCATCTCCAACTCGGCAGCATCAAGGTTCTATACAATCAGCAGTTTCAAAGTGGACACCCAAGATTAGTGTCACCAATTCAGTATCAGACCAAATGTCTCCCCTTCTGTTTCTGAGTTATGGGGTTGACTATAGGGCTGCCAAGATTAGTCGACTAATCGATGACTAATCGACTATTAAAATAATCGGTGACTATTTTAGTAGTCAACTAATCGGTTTGAGTCATTTTTCATAGAAAAGCACTATAAAAGTACCCCAAAATACTCTTACTGCAGCTTCTTACGTTCAGATATTGGCAGCTTTACACACTCTCCCGTGACAGTGAACTAAAACCCTTTGGCGTGAGTATGAAATAAGACATTAGATGACGTAATTTTGGGGTTTGGGTGAGACAGACCGACATTTTTTAACATTTTAACACATTTTTTGATGAAATGACTAGTCGACTAATCGAAGAAATAATCGACAGATTAGTCGACAGTGAAAATAATCGTTAGTGGCAGCCCTAGTTGACTAATGGCTGAAAAAGGGGTTTGGCATTACACTATAATATCACAGTGCAGCTGACCTGTGACCTTTTGGATATAAAATGTCATCATGTCCTATCACCCATTTGTGTTTTGTCATTTTTAGCATATGCATTCTAGTGTTATAACACAGAACATGTTTTGTGGGGTCACAGTGACCTTTCATTAATTTTTTTTATTCATTCATTTTCCATAAGCGCTTATGCTGTTAGGGGTTGCGGGGGGAATGGAGCCTATCCCAGCTGACATTGGCCGAGAGGCAGGGTACACTCTGGACAGGTCGCCAGAATATCACAGGGCTGACACAGAGAGACAGACAACCATTCACACTCACATTCACACCTATGGGCAATTTAGAGTCACCGATTAACCTGCATGTCTTTGGACTGTGGAGGGAGTCCGGAGCACCAGGAGAAAACCCACACTGACATAAGGAGAACATGCAAAGTCCACACAGAAGGGCTCGAACCCCTCATCCTGAGTTCGAACCAGGAACCCTTTTGCTGTGAGGCAACAATGCTAACCACTGCACCACCGTGCAACCCATCCAAGTTCTCATCAGTCCATCCTTGAGTCCTAGTGGACGTTTGTGCCAAATTTAAGGGGATTCGTGGAATTCTTGTGTAACCTCTTCATGAAAATGGGGTGGACATGAGGTCCCAGTGACCTTGACCTTTGACCCTAACCATCAAATTATATTCAGTTCATTCTTGAGTCCAAGTGGATGTTTGTGCCTAATTTAAAGAAATTCCGATAAGGTGTTTATGAGATATTGTGTTTGCGAGAATGAGATGGATGAGAGGACAACTCAAAAACAGTATGCCTCTGGCCACAGCAGCTGTTGGCACGGAGACATAAAAACACTTATCCACACCTTTAGCTTAAAACTGTCTGAGGGACTACAAAACGTTCAACAATGGTGCAACAAGCCTAAAACAATCAAGGTGTAGCTGATGAAGAGGGAAAACAAGTACAGAAAGCATAAAAACTGTACATACAAACTTGGCTGGTTAGGTAAGTACCAGTTACTTGGAACAAAAACAATCACACCTGTCATAACCTTTGCTTCTTAAGGGAGGAGGGATGATTTAACGCAACAAATACAGCACTGACATCCTACAGCCCATATTACATCCTTAACTCATACCTCCTTCTCGTCTGCCTCGACGTCCCTTGGTGACCACAGTGATCTCCTTCTCCTCCTGCGGCATCTCTGTGATCTTGTGGAGAAAGACTTTTTCCAAGGCCTCCGCCATTAGGACAATATCATCCCCAGGCTAAACACACAAACACATGCACATTTTTAGATGGCATGAGCTCTTTGGGCAGATGCTTTCCTTGGGAAGGAAAACATCTTGCTTCATTACCTAAATTCCAAGTTCATGGAAGTCACATGAAACCAGAACTCATGTGGCTAGTGGCTGACCTTGTTGTAGATGTAGCAGTTTGTGAACATTGTGTTGAAGTCTTGGATGCACTCCTGGGCATTCCAGTAGTAATTGTTCTCCAGACGTTTTTTTATCGTGCCCATGTCCATCGGGGTCTTGATGATCTTGTAGTAGTCCTTCGGGGAGGAGAGCAGGTAGAGAGTATTAGATTTTTATCTTTTTCTGACAAAAGAATGTGGAAAAAAGACGAAGTTTGCTTTGTCAAAACTATCATTTATGAGTTGAACATGCATGACTTATATCAACCTTGTCACCAGAACACCAGGTTAGTTTTCGCCAAAACTTCGCTCTGCTGTGCATGTGTTGTGTCCAACTTTAGTGTTGGCTAGTTTGACCATGAGATGCAAGTGCCAGCTAGCTTGACAGCAGTCTTTTTCTCATCAGCAGAGCTAGATCAACTGGTCCTCCTGTGCCTCTGGGTTGGTCCATAGGCAGCGTCGGATGTTTCTGCATCAAGCCAGCCGTCACATACATCTCCGTGGTCAAACCAGCTGCCACAGACTGCCCCCGTATTCTAACTACGTCTGCTTTTCAAAATAAGGTTTTAGAACAGTGTAAATACTACATGGTGATAAGTGAAACTGAATTATTTTCATGGTATTGAACATTGTTGTCAGGCCCTGCAGTCATGCAGAAGAGGCACTTTTAAAACAGCAAAGGTAACCAAAAAACTAAGAAACTGGACACATGCCAGAAGTGACACAGGAAATGATGTAATACCATGCATGAGACGGAATTTTTTGTTGTCACTGGCACACATGTTCACACAATAGCCCATTTCCCCATCTTTACTATTTATAGCCTGGCTCTCCTAGCTGCAACAACAACTTTGGTCCATATTGCAGATGCAACATGCAGGCTACAGTAAAGCTCCTATTGTTGCGGGCGACCCTGCCCTCAGGTTTACCCTCAACCTATGCCTTGCACTCTCATTGGCTGTAGCTTGCTGACAGGTCCCTGAGAGGTCCAGATATATAGCCTGCTAGATATATAGGAAACGTCTTCAATGCATCTGTGAGCCGAGTCTTTGAAGTGTTCACACTTCACATAGCCAACGCCGATTTGCTTCTTATGTGAGGCTTTTGTTTTGGAGCTCCATAAAATGATATTCAAAGAAATTCTGATGCCATCAAAGTGTTTCTGGACTTTCATTACAGGCACGCAAACACACAGACACACAACTCACAGGTAAATTGAGTTTGATGGCATCTACAGGAGCTTGAAAGGGCCATGCAAAGTGGTGTTTCCACAATGTCTTCAACACCTCTTTAAGCAGGAACTGAAAAAGAGCACAATCATACAAAAATCAATTAATTCAAGTCCACACACCAGACACAGTTTACACATGTACAAACACACAAACAGAAATCTCCATACCTGTAGCTGGTTGGTCTGTCGTTTGGGTCTGGAGGGGTTCCATGTTTCTGGGGGTGGAGGGTTGAAGGAGAGAGTTGGCGGGGCAGAGGGAGGGTTCTGGCTGCTGCCAGCCTCCAGTCCGTCTCCCATCGCGGTGGTGGGTTGCAGTGACTGATAGGACAGTTTGAGTAGATAGGACCTGGCTGGGGCAGGTGGGACCGGGGGAGACCCCCCTCAGGCCATTACACTCCTCACTCAACTATCTGGAAGGACAATCAACAAAAGAATCATCACGGCTGCCACTACTGTTACCATTACTGCGCTTGTTAGTGAAGCCAACTCTGATTCAGTGTCCTCAAAATACAAACCACAACCAATATTAAGCAGTTTCCTTCACTCTCAGTCTTACTGTCACTCCGCAGTGTTTGCATGTTGCTTTAAGACTACACCTTCAATGGCATTGGGTATGTGAGAGGGAGACAACCTGGCAAGGTCAACACCATCTCATCTTTGGGATTGTAGCTGCTCTGAGAGCAACTGAATTTGTCTTAATGTGGTTGAAATTCTCTTCCTTGTTGTAATTCGTCTTAAAAAAGGCATCATGTGCTGAAGACACACGTCTCTGTTTACATGTGCCAACAAATGGATGAATTCCAGACCAATTACAACCTGTTAAATCGATGTCAAAAGCTCAGCATAAATACTGACTCATGGCGTAAGATCAAATAAAGACTGTTCACATGCAGCCTTTCTGCCTCATCAGATGGAAGTGCATGTAAAAAATGTAAACATATTACAGATTTCTACACTTCTACCACTCGAGCTATGAGACATTAGGTATGAATATAACGCCATCAAAATGCAAAAAACACTAACTCTGGTTTACAATAAGTCATACTGTATTACATTAGACTCAAAGTGCACAGATAGTGTGAAGCCACTAAAAGAAATAACAGTGCAGGTGACTATACGATGATGCTGTTGCATGTAAATCATCATCAAAACTTAAGTGTATATCGGTGAACATCCTGTGTTAGCATGAAATTTCCACAAGATATGATTTCTGATCCTTTATGTTACTGTTCATTTTGATGTATTTGTTATTGAATTGCAATACAAAAATATCAATATCATCTAGCATCCCAATAATGTTCAAAATGATCTAAGAGCTTAATACGAAACAAAGAGGCTGGATAAAATAAGGTAAAACCTCACGTTCATAACACACGCAACACTCAGATGCTGTCATATGCAATAATGTATGGCAGGGTGGAGAGTAGAGACTGAAAGGAAGTTGGAAGAGAAATGTCTCAAGCTTTCTTTTTGAAGATCAGTTGCCAGGTAACATTTGAAATAGGACATTAGTTATAAATATGGATGACACAATCTTAAAACAAATAGAAAACAGCTGAACGTATTCCATGAAAAGTAAGAGACTGTTATTTTACTAGTCAGTACAATGTTAGTGGTATCAGCATGCCGTCCATCTGGTAAAGACAGTCATTCCATGTTTGGATATCGATCAGAGTTATAAAAGAAGGAGCCTGGGCTGTAGGTCGACAAAATTTGTTTTTCCAATGGTAATTGGTGAATAAGAGCGTCACTTATCAAGTACATATTAACACGCAATTACTGTGCTGGATAATACCTCTATTTACAAAGGGTCCGCCCAGTTATATCATGCATAAGCAAGGTCAGTCTATTCAATAGTACTATAGCAGAATGTTACAATTTACAGTTAAACCTCAGGTAGACAGTTTTGTTTTGGTGTCACTAGGCCAAAAAAAACATAATTAACTTTGAGCTTATTGTAATTCAAGAGGTCTGAGAGAAAACTAGACTTCTGCACCTCCTCTTGGCTCTGTTTTTAGGCTACAGAAAATCTAGGCTATGATGGGAGACTGGGAAGCTAATGGCAGCCAATCACAGGTCATTTCCGAAGGTATCGGGTGTTCCTAAAGGCCGTTCTACGAATGCACATACTTTCTGTAAAAGCCTGTTTCAATGGTAGATTGATTATTTGAAAAATTGTCGAATACTTGCCACAATTTTTGAATAGTGTTTTTGCTTGTGTTGCCCATCCCTAGTTGCTAATAGTTTAGCCTGCTGCGAACCATAGCCAAAGGCTCATGGCTGCAAATTCATGTTCATGTTGTTGTAGCTAATGTTAACTAGAGCCTCGAATCTCAGTGTGTCCTCCGCCTCGCTCCTTGCCTCTATAGAAAAACGTGCTGGGAGAAGAACATGCAGCAGCTCGAGAGATGAACCCCCAGTCAGCAGCTGAAGAAATCAGAATCCAGCAGCTCAAATCCCAGCACCAGGGGACCGGCAGTACAGACCTCCTGCCTGATCAGCAAACTTTCTGTTGCTGCCATTACACAGGTTAGACCCAGCGCTGCTGCTGGCCACCAGCCCGCTGTGACACCTGGTGCCAAGGGGTTTGCACTGGCCCAATTCGAGCCTTTATAGCTGCCGACTAAAGGTCTAAGACTCCGGAGCTGCTGCCTGCTCTCCTCCAGTCCACAACAAGGGTGAGCAAAGCAGACAAACTGTGGGTTCTGATAAACAGAGACGGGCAAGGAGAGGCTGAGGGGAATGCGCTTCAGGCAACTCTACAATGAAATAAGATTTTTTTTTTTTTTTTTTTTTGTTTGCCTTTTCCAGATTTATGCCTACTCCAGCTTTAATGTCAGGTAATCGTGTATTAGTAGAAAGTCTATGGAAATTTTTAACTAGGAAACAGATACTGACCAATCAAAAGCCTTAATAAGGAAAAATAATTTAGCGTGATAACATGATCAGTGCATCACTGCATTATCCAGATGTACTGACGAGGGTTGCAGCGATATACAGGCTTCAGGGTTTACTGTGATACAAAAGTTGACGGTTATCAGGCTGTACATTTGCTTATCTATCATACTGAAAAATAAAAAGGGAAATAAACGAAGAATCAACAAGAAAGAAAATGTTGCCACTGGTGAGCGAAACATTTTCATTATCAAGGCCTTAGTAGACCAAGTAGTCAATTCTGACACATCTGAATGTCAAAAAGACAAATGACTTTCTGGACACTCACGTTTGTTGCTATGCAGCTGCGATCTAATCCAATTGCGGGATCATATCTCAGCTGACAGGGCGACGATTTCCTGAGGTAACACTGGAGGTTTTTCAGTGACACGCTGGGGGGCAAGGAAACCACAACACACAGATAGAGGGCCGAGTGTCACGCCTGAGAGAGAGATATAAAGAAAAGATGGTGCCGGATTAAAATCGGCCGAGTTGTTTTCAACTAACCTCAGAATACACTACCAGGTAAACATTTGGCCAGGCTGTGGGTCCCTAACCCCACTATGGGTTGCCAAAGCTTCATGAGGGAGTCAAAAGGCCTTCTTGATTTTAAGAGGTTAAAGAGGACTTTTTAAAAATATATACAGTTGGCCAAATCTCAGCCTTTCATTAATTTCTGTGAAGAAAACTAAATGAAAATGTTATTTTTAAAGTTTAGTTTGTTATTTAACATATAAACTTAAAATAAATCTTTTTCTTTGTCAGAAAGAGAAACCATTAACTATGTATGGTTATTAAATAAAAAAATACACAATACAGAGAGAGAAAGAATCATATAAAAAGTTACTAAAAATATCAGGAAAACATCTTTCTATTTACAGGAAATAATCTGCTCAAAATTCATTCAAATTGCTCCTTTTACACACACACTTCCTGCAGTTATTGCATTTACTATTTGGGTTAACTGTACAGTTTATCAGTCATTCTATATTGTTGCCATTATGCACTGAATATTAAATGAAAAATCCATTATCATATCACTTAGTCAGGGGTTGTCAGCTTATTTAATAATAGAATTAGGTCTTTTACGGGAAAATGTTGGGAAACATTGCTCTAACCAGATCATTTGAGGCTGCACCTCTTTTCCATTCATCCTGTACAATTTTTAAAAGGGATCCACCAACAGTTAATCAGAGTTAATCAAAAAATGTTTGTGAATTTCTCCTGGGAATGACCTCTCTCTAACTGGAACTGTCCAGATGAGCTGAGACTTACACATTTTGTAATACACAGTACACAATTCTTAACCCAAGACAGCATCTTGACCCAGCTTTGATGCTTTAATGGAGGTTTTTGAGATGTCATAACCCTTCACCTTGCACCCTATCTGATGTTTCTACACCCCTGTAGTGTAATTATCCATATGTTGTGCAAGCAAGAGACCCTTATGAACGTGTCTCCTGATTCTGCTGACAATCTATGTCTTCTCGGACTTTGTTACCCAAGTTAAGGTGCACATATCATGGTTGAATATGGAATGTTTTGGTATGTTCTCTTCATTATTCCCCAGGGAATCAGATAGAACAATGAGAAGGTTTGTAAGAAGAACATTATTATCAGTATTTTAGTGGCTCTGTCAGCTTCGTTTTCAAATATGCATGTAAAAAAATTGTTGGCGTATTATAATTTTTGTGCTATAGTATACCTTGTGTGGATATATATTTTAGTTTTATGAAAAGCTAGCTGACGAGGATGTGAGTTCTGTAATTTCCACGGTCTTATGGATGCATACACTGAACCCTGACCTCGAACCGTTACTGATCTGGATGCCGTTTGATACACAGGGCTCAAAGGTCATTTTTTTGGAAGTTCTCTGAGAGACAGTCTGTCCAGGTACAAGCAGAGACAAGAGCTTGTCTTCAGCCTGTCGTGAGCCGACATTTTCCTCCCTTAATAAATGCTAAATTTCCTCCACAAATACCTAAATCTTTATGTTGAAAGAAAATTAAATTTGTTTATGTGTATGCAAATATTGTGACATACATGCCCATCTTCTGCTACAGGTCCATATCACAAGCTGTTAAAGACATTTTAAATGCTGGGAATCTGGCAAAACAAACAGTGTCACACCAGATAAGGAAACTGTTGTCGTCAACAAGCCTCCAGGCATTAATCTACACCACAAGAATCTACAATAAGCTTCTTAGATGGACTGTGCACGGAAACAGACCTCTTAGTACACAATGTCCAATGTTGTGATTTATGCCCATTTTAACCTGAGGTACCCTTCTACCTTACTGTTAACATATATTAATGTAAATGTGAACTGACTTGTAGACTGTGGCTGACGCTTTAGCCTTAAGGCTTTTAAAAAATCCAACCATACCTGGAGAAGCTACACAGTCTCGACACGATGCAAATGCGTTCACATAGTGTAGAAATGTCGCAGTTAATTTAAATAAAACACCAACGGTCGAGACAGTGAAGCGAAGAAACGCGCTTTGACCCATTAATTATTCTACAAAATTTATCAGCCATTTTGCTACTATTTCGTATCACGTAGCAGATTCTTCATTCCACAGGTGACGTTAGCTAGGAAGCTAACGATGCTAAGTGCCATGAATAACGTTACTTATCGACACAAGTGGACACAAAGACACATTTTTTCAGAAACAACTTCGCTCTCTACCTTCGCCTTGCTAACCTTCCATGACAGTACATCGCCATGTCCACTGTGAGCAGCTGACAGCTCCGCACGTAAATGGCCTTTCAGAATACAACTTGGACGGGATTGATATTCTCGAAATGACGTACGTCGCACTCCACATGAGCTCCTGCGCCATCGCGCGTAAACTACGCTGCCAAGAGGACGTAACTTATGTCACGAATACGGCCTACGGGGCTACAAACAAACAGCCTAGCAGCTAACTGGTTAGCATGATACCGACCTGCAGCTAACGTGCACACTGACAGCACGGAGGGTCCCGTGCCACGAAAACGACCTTAACGCAAGTACCGCGAGGAGGAAGACACAACATGGAATATGCACAATAACACCAAATCGCGCTGATTTAAAAGACAAAAAATCATCTATCTCGTGTGCCCGAACCGGTGCAAGGCCTGCGAAGACAGCTCATGCTCCGCTTGCCGAAGCGCACACTGACAGCGCGCGAAATACGCCCCCGATGTCCGTTGTAAACGTTTTACCGGATCCCCGGGGTTGTACGCTTTCGTTTGATATACCAATGTCATCCATGGAAAGGCGTAAAATGCTATTTTTACCTTCTTCAGTCGGTTGTCAGCGCTCGCAGACCTTCCTCGCCCCAAATCCAGAACAAACAGTCCTTTTCGACGTAAATGACGTCAGACGCACGGGGGCAGGCCGAAGGTGTTGTCAGCAGAAATGTCACCCGCAGCCCCGCCTCCTCCCCCGGGGCAACATCATGCAATACCTCGTAATGATTTCAGCGATACTCAGGTAGGTGTCCTCCACACAGATTGTGTCTTTGGTCCCTTTGCTTTAATAAAGATGCCAGAAATAAATAAGAGAATAAAGATATATTCATTATGCATGCTTTTATTGCGGTTCACCACAAACGTGTGTGGGGTGACTGAGTGCATGTGGTGCATCGCCATTTCTATTTTTCACCTCTTGAAGAACTCTTTATTTAATGTAATGACTTACAACCCACAGAACATCACAATACAGAGAAAAATATATAAATATAAATAGTATGGAAATGTAAAAAAAACAGAAAAGCAATATACTCCCTATCAGCATTTACAACCTATTGGTTCAACATTGTATCAACTATTGCGCCTTCATTAAAAACATGATTAATATTTGCTTTTTTTAATGTTGTTGGTGTATTTAAATCTGTTCATACAACTTAGCAAATACAGTTACAAGGTTGATGACGTATGCTTGTATGAACTGATGTATGAAGCAATTTAAGCCATCAAATTGTCAGTAGTAAACTACATGACAAATAGAGGCATACATATAAAAAAGTGTTTTAATAAATAAGTGTATACATTTAGTGGACACCTCCTTTACCTTACATGTAGAGATTTGTCTGGCAGCACTCAATCTGCCATTGAATATTAATGAAAAACAATGTCAGAAGGTGTTGATGTGCCCTTTCTAAAATCAAATCATTTCATGAAACATTACTCCTTGATTTCCAAAATGTGTTTGATACTTGTGTTTGGGGCAGAGGGAATTGTTATGCCACCTTGTGGTCAAGAATGGTGCCAAATTCAAGGATGCTGTCATGACTAGATATTAAATTAACATCCACATTAATGTAAAGCAACACCAGCCCAGGAAGCTTCACCTGTGGATGTAAATGCGCACCATCACTGCCAACTGCAAGCTTAAGTGTATTCAAAGTTATGTGTTTCAGACATTTTTGACATAGCTGATTTAGTGTCTACATTTTTCAGAGAACCTAGCTTTGAACTTTTGACCTGGAAGGCATCCAGTTTGTTGCCAGTCCAGCTAGTTTCTTATGTTGACTTTAATCAAGCACACGATGTGTTACAATCTTAAATACAAAACATCAAAACAGAGATTTATTCAACAAGTTTATTTCTTACTCAGAGTGAAACAAGTTTGTTACATGACTGATATCCATTCTAAATATTTCACACTTATTCTACAGACAGTCCCCATGATCATCTCAATCACCCCAGCTGTAGAATAAAAAGCCCGCCATGTTCTAGATTTTACCAACAGGTTGGAAAAATCATCCATTCACCGTCATCAATACTGGCAATGGACAGAGCGCTATGACACCATGTAAACTCTGATAAGAAGGAAAGGACACAATATCTCATGACTTTACAATACTCAAGATGTCTTGAACAATTCTAAACCAATTAATCCAGAATAAGAATACTTGGAACAAAAAGGCACAAGAAAAAGTATTAAGAGGAATAGTTTGACATTCTGGGAAATACACAGTCGACTAACACCTCTGAAGAGAGTTGGTAAGCGTACATAACAGTTAGTATAATGCTTTATTTCTTCTTGTTTAACTTAAGAATATTAATAAAAGTATTTCCCAAAATGAGGAGCTATTCCTTTAACAAAAATAAAATGATTCTCAGTCATTAGACAGTGAAAACTGGTGGAGCAAGTATGTGTATTTCTTAATATGCCTGGCAATGAGATGGGTTGAACGGGACTGTGGGGGTCACTGAAGAAGTCACACACAGGTTGCAAGTCATTCATCATTCTTGCCTTCCTCCTCCTCCGCCTCTGCAGCCTCCAATCCTTCCTCCTCTGCAGCCTCCAATCCTTCCTCCTCTGCCTCCGCAGCCTCCAATCCTTCCTCCTCTTCCAGCTCACCTTGTACTCCCTCCTCGCCAATCTCATCGTGCACCACATATCCCTCTTCCTCCTCCTCCTCCTCCTCTCCAACTTCAAAACCTTCCTCCTCTTCCGGGTTCTCCTGATCTTCTCCCTCCTGTCCCTCCCCTCCCTCCTGTCCCTCCATTCCTGGCTCCTCCTCCATCTTTTACTCCTCTGCTGCTGCTGCCTCTGCTGCTTCTTCCCCCTCAGCCACCGCCTCTTGGCTCGTCTCCCCCTCGGCCACCTGCTCATCCTTGACTGCCGCTGCCTCTGTCTGGCTGTCTGCTGTCTCGCCGGTTAACTCCATCTCAGACACGTCCATCACCATAGAGTCCTCTTGATCCTGGTCGTCTTGGTTACCAGTGAATGGATTTTCACCCTGACAAGGAAAGAACATTTATAGGTACAATTGTTTGTCTATGAGCCCCAGCATTCATGATTAGCTGGACTGAAATCAGGGATATTGATGTCTCTACATGCATGCACACACCTCAAGGGCTTCTTGCTCAAAAGCTCATCCTTCACTTGTGACTAGATGATCTATAGACACATTAACATGGACCTGGCTTTATTTGTGCATGCAAGATGTGCTCTGTATGTAAAATGTACTCTGTTATAAATGCTAGCCTACTTCTTCCCACGGCATTGAAAAATATGCTCAGATTATTTGTGTTGCAATATCACATGAATTAGAATCAAAGCTGTTCTGAAATGGCAGGAGCATCAAAGTCAAAGTGTCATATCATGAAACCAGTGTGGGGTGTATACTTGTTTCGCTTGCACTGTGGTTAAAAACATGCATTTTTTCTGCGACCACAAACTCTTATCTTTACATCAAGTTGCAAAACAAGAGCACTGGTAAGTTTAGTGCAACCGTTCACGCCATTTGTTTTGATTGCTAGCTCATCCCCAGGCACGAGACTCTATACATACCTTGAGGTAGCTCTCCAGCTTCTTGCCAATGAGTTTGTGGTTGAGGATGCTACGTGCTACTGACAGACTGGCCCTCTTGGACTGCTCCATCATACCCTTGAAACACAAATAGAGCAGTCCCAAGTCATACACAGAACAAAGTACAAACATCCAACGAGCAAACATCATTACAGAACATCAACCAGCACTGGGCATCATTTGGTGTGTGAAGCATTATGGCTTTAAAGTTAATGATGATAACTCTGCAATTAAATTAATGTAAAAACACAAGTTTAAGTTCTTCTAGCATTAAATTACAATATTTGTGTGCCCTCTTTGTACAGACACAATTATGTCCCTTGAGTCACTGTATAAAGGAGCTGTATGAGACATTCAGAAGATTGATATGGCAGCAAATCACTATTTACTATGTAAAGAAAGTGCAAATTAAGTCATACTCTGTCTGTTGTAATCTGAGCGTCTCGGTTCTTTGTTGTGGCAGCCGGTCTAGCAGTGCATGTGTGTTAAGGCCCTGACACACCAAGCCGACGGTTGGCCAACAGTCAAAGTCGGGCTGTCGGCGTCAGCAGCTTTTTGACCAATTGAGCATGTTGAATCAGCGGCGGAACTTGTCAGTGAGAGAGATCACTCTGATTGGCTGTGCAGGTTTTATTTCCTCGCCCCTGTAGCGAGTGAATCTGCCTGCAGTGAAACCAGGGCTAACTAGTGCTTCCTCCTCAGGCTCCACTTCACTCAGCTGCCTGACAGACCCGCTGCTTCTTCCCACTTTAACCTGAATAGCCGCAACATGACTGGAGGGAAGCACAGCCTCTGTAGTTTCCCAGCTAGCCCTGCCTCTCCATTTGGATCCAACCGGAGCACCGTGCCCCGGTTTGTTATTCAGGTTAAAGGTCAGGGTTTGTCGGGCAGCTGAGTGAAGTGGAGCCTGTGGAGGAAACACTGGGACCGTCTGGATGTAATAGTCCGTGGAGGTGCTGCGGTGCTCGGCTACACAGATAGTAAACCCCTCGGCTGACAGGATGTATCACTCTCTCATTCCGCTACTTTGTTTATCTCATGCATTCCTCTGACTTCCTGTTATTTCTTCACGCAGGTGCAGAACGTATGCGCTACTTGGCCGTCGGATGTAGTCTTTGTAGTAGGGCTGGGCGATAAATCGATTTTATCGATTAATTCGAATTTGTAGTTTAAGCCGATTTGTTTTAATGAAAATGGAGTTTCTATTTACAATACGCCACCACCGCTCCACGCTGGGCTCCCGTAGTTCATAGTGGGCTCACCCCCCCCCCCCTCAGGGCTGAACTCCGCCGTGCTCGACACAGAGAGCAGAGGAGGATTTTAGACGCGCAACGTGTAGGGACAGAAATGACATGCCATTGTGTCAATAAGATAAATAAGTGTTCCCAACGCCAAGCTGGCAGACCCCCGAACCGTAGTAAAGGGACCTCCGAAGACCATTAGCTCCTTTAGCTTGTGTTAGCTCGTTATGGCAACAACAAATAAACAACGGGACTTTATTTTCAATACTGCAGGGATGATGCACGGCCTCTCTCATCAGTGTCTGACTTTTACATAGAGGGTTATAACTCAAAAACAGCATGCAGAACTGCGTAGGCTTCTTCACTGTGGCTGCTCGATGTAAACAACATAGCACATGCCTCACTTTCTTCCTGGGGCGCATCCATCTGAAATCACACACCACACCAGGCGCACTAACATCTCATAACTCCTACATCAACTACACACACACACCAGGCTCAGCCTGTAACATAAGGCTATTCAGTTTGTTTAATAAAAGGACAAGGTATAGACCTGTTCTATAGGAAAGGTAACCTTAAATGACTTCTGTTGTGATCCAACATGATGGTAGGGGAAACACTGCCGTATCATAAGAAAGGGGTCTGGTGGAAAGCGATGACAGATGCAGTCGCAATGTATATTGCAAGAGATGTGGTGCCCATATATAGGCTACTGTGGAAAAGCTGGGGTTTATTCACATGCTGAAAGTTTTGGACCCCAGGTATGTGCTACCAGGCCGCAAATATTTTTTTATAAGTAGGAGGAGAAAAAAATC